CACGTTGTACAGGTGGTTTTTTGGGGGGGGGAATAGATGATCGAAAAAGCAGAATCCACCGTATTTCTTACGTATTTTACGCCTTCATAAACCCATTCCGCACCTTGATGAACCTCTCACGCGCTCTTAGAAAATCGGTGTATACTCGAAGTAGCAGAGACCAATATTATTTCAAAAATCAAAAACTTTTTCTTAGAATTTGTATATTTCTATTTGCAAACAATTATGATTTGTCGCTTGTCTGCCAATGGTGTCTCAACAGAGGCTTCCAGGTTTTCTTATTTTCAGTTTTAAAACCCCCAGCAAAACTCACATCACAACGTAATTAAATTATGTAAACCACGACTTGGTGAAGGAATACTGGAATTAAAAAGTAGTTAATAGTAAATGAATGAATAATTTTATTATAATTATTTGAGTCGGTAAAAACCAAGGGAGAAAATCAGAGTTATTGAAAAGATGATTTATACCAGTGCTTGTTATTTCCCTCTTAGCCAGTACTCCGCTATTTCGTTCGAAACTCATTGACAGACAGATGAAGAATGATGCTATTGTTGGAAGGTGTTGCTTCTGATTGAACCGAACTGGTTTACACCCCTTATTGACACGATTAAGATTATTAGGAGTTGAGCTGTTTCGACTTGATGTCAACCTCAAACTCGCTGGTCTCTTGATCTATTTTTTTTCTCGTGGGCTGTTTAGCGTTTAGCGCCACGACAATTATTACGAGCTAAGCTCAACGATAAATACGATTTGTATGAATTTCAAATGCAGAGGACACGAGGCTGTGGTCGGAATAAAATTGTTTAAATTGAATTATTCGTGTCTGACTTTCCATGATCATGGGGTTTGTACCTCCTGCTGGTGTTCTGGGAATTGTTTTTACTACCCCTCTTTCCATCACTATCTGGGTTTGAAATAGTTGGTTAAGGAAGGAGATCTGGCAAAAATAATGATATGTGTTTCTAGGAAATTTTGGACGAAGGATGAACTGGCTTCCTCTGAGAATACTAAAAGCGAGGACACACCCGCGAAAGACAACGCAAAACGTGGCTGGATGGCATTAAAAAGCATTTTGATATTCAGGCAGTGTCTAGAATATGAACTCCCCCCCCCCCCCAAAAAAAAACAAAAACAACAACAACAACAACAAAAAACAACAAAAACCATCCCATTTGTTACACAACCAAAAGGCAACAACTATTGGGTTACGAGTTTCATCAAAGACATTTAATGTACAATAATATCACTCCAGTACATCAAAACACGTCTCAAATAATAAAGTAGTAAAAAGAATAAATGTAGGATTATGGTTTCGTCCTTCTGTAGTCTCAAAGATACATAGTAACATATCGCGATAAAAAGTACATTAAAATTAATGTAGTTTAGTTATTGCAATTACCCCGTCGACGAAATGATACTGGCCAAACAAATAACCAAAGAAAGAACATAATAGTACTACTAGACTTATAATATCATTCAGAAATAAATACCTGTACATGTTAGTTTCGAATATCTTACATGTTTGTGTCACACCTGTGCTTAAGTACAAATGTGAAGTTATGTTTATGTGTCGCATGAAGAGAAGAAAACCGGGTGTCATGACGCGGTGAAATCAGGCGCTCATCAATTGTTGGGCATATAGAGCTACTAGTATAATCTCAAAGCTTGTTGTTGTTGTTTTTTGTCTTGCATTTGGCAAAAAAGTACCCATCTATGATAAACAGAAGTGGAAATACTTGCAATTGAAGGGGGTGGGGTCACCTAGTGTGAGAGGTAAAATTATCGAGAAAATGAACGCCTAAGTTTTGTACATTACATGGATTGAGAGTACTTGAAAAATGAATATTCTACATGTTTGTGTCCCTAGACAACGTTTTTATCAGTAAAATCTGCATTCAAGTTCGCTTCTAAATGAACATAGATCTAAAAGGTGTTGAGCTAAAAAATAAAAATTTGAACAAATTTGCTAAAGCAGCTGGAAAATGCTATTTTCTTCGATTTCATTATTTTGATGAGCGCCTGATTTCACCACGATGTCTTACAGTGTAATATCTCCAATACTGTAAAATAGCCCTATATGACAAAAAATATACTAAGCATTATTTTAACAAAAACATTTGCACAATTTCAGCAATAGGTTCCTGCGAATGCTAGACTCAGATGACAAAACTCTTTTTATTACCTTCTTCAAATGCGTCTTTGGTTTTCTTCTTTTTGTTCTGCACCACTTGAATTATGATCGAGATCACTACAGTCAAGACCAACACGACAACAACAGAGCCCACAAAACCTGCGATGACGATTTTCTGGGAATGTGGCGCTTCTTTGGCGTCCTTGGCCACTTCGCTGTGATCTTCGCTCAGGTACTCACGAGTGGTCAAGTCGGGAACGAATCCGAAACCAACTGTCACCAAGTTGGAGAGTTCACCTTTGTTTCCGGACTCGTCCTCAGCGAAGATGGAGAACACCAGACTGACATTCTGGCCTTTCGGGACGTCCATCTGCACCACCATCTGAAAGGTTTGGGTGAAAATTAAATAGTAATAATAATAATAATAGATAGCATT